CATTAAGTTTGTGTCGGTTGAGGCTAATGGCAAAGTGGTGAACATCAGCACCGGTTTTGGTGTCGGAGCCGTTGCTCTCTATTCGGTGCAAACGGATGACAACCATTTGATGCGTTACTATAACTCTGCCACAGAAGTGGACACCGAAGCAGAAATTGACGACTCGCTCGACAAACTCAGCGATGAATGTATGCATTGTTTTGTACTTCATTTCATGAGAAAAGTTTTTGTTTATCTTGAAATTGACATCTATTCGACAGATTTAGTGGAAATACCGGAGAATGCGGGCAAAAATCAGACGAAAGTAATTTTGGCCCAAAAGGCGAAGTTTGGTATGAAGATAGAGCCCAAGTCTAAGGGCAAGAAGACTGTGAACGTGACCGTAGATCACGGATACGTTGTCGGCGCTATTGTCAACGTAACCAGTGGTCGCAAATTCAATTGAGTCCACAGTTTTGTTTCTTAAATACTGTATATTTTATATATTTTTATAAAAACGTGTTTGAGAAATAAATGTAATGAGTCATTGAGATAGGTCTATTATCTTATTACTAAGGTAATTGCTAATGACTACAAAATGAATAAATATTTTTAAATCTTTGTTTATACTGTATTTTCAAAAATTTAGATATGTTTTAAACAATTATACAATATATTCAATTATGTTTTAAAAGATGTAAATACAGTACTATTATATTGAAAAAATTACTATACCTAAAATATAAACGTTTCTTACATAATACTGTATTTGTAAATGTATAAGTGAAAGTGTTATAATGTACTAGTAGTACAGTACTCGTTATATAATATTAATAAAAATACTTTAAAACTAATCGCTGTTGAGATTTATCCTTGAAATATCCAATGATATCTCACGTGTGGTTAATAGCCCTCCGGCTCTTTCGGCTTCAGGATTCACTAAACCTCGCATTCATTTGATTGACAATTATTTCTTTATATAATAAACACTTCAATATATTTATATCTGGATTTGAGTTTATTTTAATCGATTTTAGTGAAAATTTAATTTTATTTGGCAGATGTTTATCATAATAGGAATACCTTTAGTGAATTTAATGTTAAATTATTTTAATTGTAAAAATGCATGAATTCAACGAAAAGTGACACATGAAGTGACAATTTCAGTGCTGTTTATTATAGCAAATTATTGTGTCATACGTCACTATACTCGCTCATTCAAAAAAATTTATACCGTGTTTAAATTTTTAATAGAAAAAAGTTTAAATTTGAATGAATATTTATATAAATATCAAAAGTAAAATGATTTATATTATTAATTTAGTCTTAACAAGGTTTAATGAAAAAAAATGTTTTTATGACTAAATTAATATTAAATATTGTGACTAAATAGTGATTGCACATGATGTAAGTTAAACATTTATCTATAACAAATTGTGATTAATATTTAAGTCGTCCGATGTTTAGATTTTAAACATTGAATAGTGAATGAGAGTCTTATGGATGGTTTTGGGTACAAAAGTCGCGGACATCTATTCATTCATTCATCTATTCATCAATTTGAAGGGAATTTTGTGCTCAAAATCTGTTTCAAAGCCTGACGTCAGCCAAGAATTTTTATATATAATACAAAAGGAAGTTATAACTTATTATGAAATTATTTTAATCAATAATTTTAACATTAATTTTTCTACTCATTTAACACAGATTAGTGATAAATATATCGTTTTTAGTGCTAATTTCAAAGCGAACTCTAAATATAATGGAAACAAAAAGTTCGCAAATAATCGCTTCCTTTGACAACAAACACAACACAAAAACGGTTTACAGAAAAAAAGTCGACAAAAGTTTTGAGATCACGAAATGCGATACAAGTGATACAAGTGATGAGAATTCAATGTTCAATTGGAAACTCATTGGTTTCGATGATCTGCCGGATTGGATGAAAGACAATGAGTACATCCGCTCCTACTATCGCCCGGCGCTCAAGTCCTACGAACAGTGTCTTTGGTCGGCATTCCGTGTCCACAACCAGACCACTAATATCTGGTCGCACGCGTTGGCGGCCCTTCTCTTTAACTTCATTTTTGTCAA